CTTCTCCAGGGATTAGTTTCGCCATTCTTGTCCAGCTCGCTTGCACCTTTGCATTTAATTGCATTATAATTATAACCTTAAAGTTGCAAGCTTCACCCTTGTTGGTGTTCGACTGGTGGCAGCTGATAAAACCCGTTTGCTCTACTGACGTCTAACCCCTGGTTGGCTCAGTTGGTAGAGCGCTCCACTTGTGATGGAGAGGTCCCGGGTTCGATACCCGGACCAGGCGGATCTTTTCGGTTGCTCACCAGTCACCTAGCTGTGTTTGGAGATTTATGTTTGTCCTTCGTCCCTCTTGTTCCCCTTCTCCAGGGATTACTTTCGCCATTCTTGTCCAGCTCGCTTGCACCTTTGCATTTAATTGCATTACAATTATAACCTTAAAATTGCAAGCTTCACCCTTGTTGGTGTTCGACTGGTGGCAGCTGATAAAACCCGTTTGCTCTACTGACGTCTAACCCCTGGTTAGCTCAGTTGCTAAAGCGCTCCACTTGTAATGGAGAGGTCCCGGGTTCGATACCCGGACCAGGCGGATTTTTTCGGTCGCTCACCAGTCACCTAGCTGTGTTTGGAGATTTATGTTTGTCCTTCGTCCCTCTTGTTCCCCTTCTCCAGGGATTACTTTCGCCATTCTTGTCCAGCTCGCTTGCACCTTTGCATTTAATTGCATTATAATTATAACCTTAAAATTGCAAGCTCCACCCTTGTTGGTGTTCGACTGGTGGCAGCTGATAAAACCCATTTGCTCTACTGACGTCTAACCCCTGGTTAGCTCAGTTGGTAGAGCGCTCCACTTGTAATGGAGAGGTCCCGGGTTCGGTACCCGGACCAGGCGGATTTTTCCGGTCGCTCACCAGTCACCTAGCTGTGTTTGGAGATTTATGTTTGTCCTTCGTCCCTCTTGTTCCCCTTCTCCAGGGATTACTTTCGCCATTCTTGTCCAGCTCGCTTGCACCTTTGCATTTAATTGCATTATAATTATAACCTTAAAATTGCAAGCTTCACCCTTGTTGGTGTTCGACTGGTGGCAGCTGATAAAACCCGTTTGCTCTACTGACGTCTAACCCCTGGTTAGCTCAGTTGCTAGAGCGCTCCACTTGTAATGGAGAGGTCCCGGGTTCGATACCCGGACCAGGCGGATCTTTTCGGTTGCTCACCAGTCACCTAGCTGTGTTTGGAGATTTATGTTTGTCCTTCGTCCCTCTTGTTCACCTTCTCCAGGGATTACTTTCGCCATTCTTGTCCAGCTCGCTTGCACCTTTGCATTTAATTGCATTATAATTATAACCTTAAAATTGCAAGCTTCACCCTTGTTGGTGTTCGACTGGTGGCAGCTGATAAAACCCGTTTGCTCTACTGACGTCTAACCCCTGGTTAGCTCAGTTGGTAGAGCGCTCCACTTGTAATGGAGAGGTCCCGGGTTCGGTACCCGGACCAGGCGGATCTTTTCGGTTGCTCACCAGTCACCTAGCTGTGTTTGGAGATTTATGTTTGTCCTTCGTCCCTCTTGTTCACCTTCTCCAGGGATTACTTTCGCCATTCTTGTCCAGCTCGCTTGCACCTTTGCATTTAATTGCATTATAATTATAACCTTAAAATTGCAAGCTTCACCCTTGTTGGTGTTCGACTGGTGGCAGCTGATAAAACCCGTTTGCTCTACTGACGTCTAACCCCTGGTTAGCTCAGTTGGTAGAGCGCTCCACTTGTAATGGAGAGGTCCCGGGTTCGATACCCGGACCAGGCGGATCTTTTCGGTTGCTCACCAGTCACCTAGCTGTGTTTGGAGATTTATGTTTGTCCTTCGTCCCTCTTGTTCCCCTTCTCCAGGGATTACTTTCGCCATTCTTGTCCAGCTCGCTTGCACCTTTGCATTTAATTGCATTATAATTATAACCTTAAAATTGCAAGCTTCACCCTTGTTGGTGTTCGACTGGTGGCAGCTGATAAAACCCGTTTGCTCTACTGACGTCTAACCCCTGGTTAGCTCAGTTGGTAGAGCGCTCCACTTGTGATGGAGAGGTCCCGGGTTCGATACCCGGACCAGGCGGATCTTTTCGGTTGCTCACCAGTCACCTAGCTGTGTTTGGAGATTTATGTTTGTCCTTCGTCCCTCTTGTTCCCCTTCTCCAGGGATTACTTTCGCCATTCTTGTCCAGCTCGCTTGCACCTTTGCATTTAATTGCATTATAATTATAACCTTAAAATTGCAAGCTTCACCCTTGTTGGTGTTCGACTGGTGGCAGCTGATAAAACCCGTTTGCTCTACTGACGTCTAACCCCTGGTTAGCTCAGTTGCTAGAGCGCTCCACTTGTAATGGAGAGGTCCCGGGTTCGATACCCGGACCAGGCGGATCTTTTCGGTTGCTCACCAGTCACCTAGCTGTGTTTGGAGATTTATGTTTGTCCTTCGTCCCTCTTGTTCACCTTCTCCAGGGATTACTTTCGCCATTCTTGTCCAGCTCGCTTGCACCTTTGCATTTAATTGCATTATAATTATAACCTTAAAATTGCAAGCTTCACCCTTGTTGGTGTTCGACTGGTGGCAGCTGATAAAACCCGTTTGCTCTACTGACGTCTAACCCCTGGTTAGCTCAGTTGGTAGAGCGCTCCACTTGTAATGGAGAGGTCCCGGGTTCGGTACCCGGACCAGGCGGATTTTTCCGGTCGCTCACCAGTCACCTAGCTGTGTTTGGAGATTTATGTTTGTCCTTCGTCCCTCTTGTTCCCCTTCTCCAGGGATTACTTTCGCCATTCTTGTCCAGCTCGCTTGCACCTTTGCATTTAATTGCATTATAATTATAACCTTAAAATTGCAAGCTTCACCCTTGTTGGTGTTCGACTGGTGGCAGCTGATAAAACCCGTTTGCTCTACTGACGTCTAACCCCTGGTTAGCTCAGTTGGTAGAGCGCTCCACTTGTAATGGAGAGGTCCCGGGTTCGGTACCCGGACCAGGCGGATTTTTCCGGTCGCTCACCAGTCACCTAGCTGTGTTTGGAGATTTATGTTTGTCCTTCGTCCCTCTTGTTCACCTTCTCCAGGGATTACTTTCGCCATTCTTGTCCAGCTCGCTTGCACCTTTGCATTTAATTGCATTATAATTATAACCTTAAAATTGCAAGCTTCACCCTTGTTGGTGTTCGACTGGTGGCAGCTGATAAAACCCGTTTGCTCTACTGACGTCTAACCCCTGGTTAGCTCAGTTGGTAGAGCGCTCCACTTGTAATGGAGAGGTCCCGGGTTCGGTACCCGGACCAGGCGGATTTTTCCGGTCGCTCACCAGTCACCTAGCTGTGTTTGGAGATTTATGTTTGTCCTTTGTCCCTCTTGTTCCCCTTCTCCAGGGATTACTTTCGCCATTCTTGTCCAGCTCGCTTGCACCTTTGCATTTAATTGCATTATAATTATAACCTTAAAATTGCAAGCTTCACCCTTGTTGGTGTTCGACTGGTGGCAGCTGATAAAACCCGTTTGCTCTACTGACGTCTAACCCCAGGTTAGCTCAGTTGCTAGAGCGCTCCACTTGTAATGGAGAGGTCCCGGGTTCGATACCCGGACCAGGCGGATCTTTTCGGTTGCTCACCAGTCACCTAGCTGTGTTTGGAGATTTATGTTTGTCCTTCGTCCCTCTTGTTCCCCTTCTCCAGGGATTACTTTCGCCATTCTTGTCCAGCTCGCTTGCACCTTTGCATTTAATTGCATTATAATTATAACCTTAAAATTGCAAGCTCCACCCTTGTTGGTGTTCGACTGGTGGCAGCTGATAAAACCCGTTTGCTCTACTGACGTCTAACCCCTGGTTAGCTCAGTTGGTAGAGCGCTCCACTTGTAATGGAGAGGTCCCGGGTTCGATACCCGGACCAGGCGGATTTTTCCGGTCGCTCACCAGTCACCTAGCTGTGTTTGGAGATTTATGTTTGTCCTTCGTCCCTCTTGTTCCCCTTCTCCAGGGATTACTTTCGCCATTCTTGTCCAGCTCGCTTGCACCTTTGCATTTAATTGCATTATAATTATAACCTTAAAATTGCAAGCTTCACCCTTGTTGGTGTTCGACTGGTGGCAGCTGATAAAACCCATTTGCTCTACTGACGTCTAACCCCTGGTTAGCTCAGTTGGTAGAGCGCTCCACTTGTAATGGAGAGGTCCCGGGTTCGATACCCGGACCAGGCGGATCTTTTCGGTTGCTCACCAGTCACCTAGCTGTGTTTGGAGATTTATGTTTGTCCTTCGTCCCTCTTGTTCCCCTTCTCCAGGGATTACTTTCGCCATTCTTGTCCAGCTCGCTTGCACCTTTGCATTTAATTGCATTATAATTATAACCTTAAAATTGCAAGCTTCACCCTTGTTGGTGTTCGACTGGTGGCAGCTGATAAAACCCATTTGCTCTACTGACGTCTAACCCCTGGTTAGCTCAGTTGGTAGAGCGCTCCACTTGTAATGGAGAGGTCCCGGGTTCGATACCCGGACCAGGCGGATCTTTTCGGTTGCTCACCAGTCACCTAGCTGTGTTTGGAGATTTATGTTTGTCCTTCGTCCCTCTTGTTCCCCTTCTCCAGGGATTACTTTCGCCATTCTTGTCCAGCTCGCTTGCACCTTTGCATTTAATTGCATTATAATTCGTTGTACGGATCGACGTTTCTTAACGCCTGTTTTCCCCCTTCGGGGCAAGTAAAAGAATCATCATCAAAAACAAATACGGGTCGGGTATCGGTATCTACTAGAGAGTTTTAGTGTATCGTTCCGATGACTCCGACAACGACACCCGATACCACGCCGCAGCCTTTGCTCGTGCATTGTATCGTTATCGGGTATCGTTATCGGTAGTATCGGAGGTATCGGAACGATCTACTAAAACTCTCTATTGTTGGAATATGGTAAATCCGGTGACCGTTCCGGATCGAAACCACGCCAAAAACGTTTTTTTATCGCTAGTCACTCGCAAGTCACATTTGGGATAATATGAAGGGAGTCAGTCGCCCGATTCGTTTACCTGTTCCTTGACTCAGTGAAATCCTTTGTAGCCGCCGTATCCTCTGTAAACCAAGCCCGGCCCGTAGCCCGCACCGGCGAGTCCGGACGAATAGCTTCCAACCACGGCTGGGCCGCCTCCGCCGCCGAGACCCGCCGTACCCACAGCGCCGGTCCCACCGTCGCCGCCTCCCAGTCCACCCCCGAGTCCACCGCCGTTGCCACCAGCTGCAGGAATGTGAGGAGGGATCATCATCTTTCTGCCTTCACGAATTCTACGATAAGTGGGATCTGCTCCAACACGCGGTGCCAGACGGCACGTCGTTGAGGTGGCGTTGGTGTCGGCACGGCGCAAACTCTTGACGCGTTTCTTGTTTCTATAAAAAAAAAATCGTATACCTTTACGTTTTATATATCCTTTTTTTGAAAGGGCTACTAGGCTCAATTATGTGATTAAGAAATAAAAGACACACAACACAAGCTTTTGCCATCATCTGGTTCATCGCATATAAATCATATTAAAGAAAATGTGAAAATAACTTTTTTTTTTAAATATAACTTACAATTGCCATCATTGCTCGCAAGTGGTAAAAATTGCATAGACAACCCCAGAGTCTTCTCGCGTAACTGAGAAGTTGTAAGTGTCTGTCTAATAACTATAAACAAAGCTGTTCTCAACTGAAGTTTTTTTTTTTTTTTTTCGTTGTCAGTGTTGGAACGATGAAAGGAAGGAAGGTAGGAAGAAAAAAAATAACAAAGAAACAAAGAAATTAACTTGGGGCAAATGTCTCGGTTGGCTACAGTGTTCAGGGTTGATGAATGGAGAGATTAAGAAAAGGAACTTAAAAAGTTATTAACGCCAAGAACATAATTTCGCTATGCGAGGGCACTCTTTCCAAGTTCAAAGCGTCGTGCTTTTGGAGTGGACATTAAATAACACAAAGGTAAACACTCCTTGCATCATGCATGGTCCATTCAGCTTGAGGTCAGCCTATCTGCCTTGGGATACGGCACCTCATCGCACTGCCCACTGCAGAGGGAAAATGCAGTTTGGCAAGTGCAGTGCACAAAATTGAAAGCACGACATCCCGGTTGTGTCCCATACGCGCAAGGACGTGTGTATGCACGTGAAGATAACCTCGACACGTTCATCATTGCACGGACTTGTACGCAACAGCTGAGACGTTGCAGAGGCCCCCGCTTGCATTCGTCTATGGGCTGGGCATTAACGCGCGTTCACAAGGTAAAGGCCTATTCACAAACTAGATTTGGACTACTACTGACTACTTTGCGAATACTAAAATCAAGATACGAACGCGAGTTACTGGGATATCCGTGCTTCGCGTGAAACGAAATCAATTCCAGGAGTGTATCTTGGCGCGCGGAACACGAAGTACACATGTCCCGGTAGTAACCCCACAGTCGTGTCCAGTGGCGTAACTAGGGGGGGGGGGGGGGGGGGGGGCAGGGTGGTACAAGTGCCCCGGGCGCACTTGGGAAGGGGGTGCCGAGCCGAGTTCAACCACAATAATAATATAATGATGATGATGATGATGTAATTATCACTATCATCATGAGGGGCGCGAAATTTCATTTGCCATGGGCGCCGTCATATCTAGTTACGCCACTGGTCGTATCTCAACGTAGCAAAGTCAAACGTGGGAACAGGCTTTAGGAAAACATGTCGATCAAACTCCGCACTCAGTTAGCACAAGCTCTGAAACCACGGTTTAAGAAATTGTTCATTTATGTAGAAACAATATAATAGTGAGCCGACTCGATATATAAACATTTGTTAAGTGGCATTATAAATTGCTCGGGAGCTTGGTGTACGCTCTGTGCGGCGCCTTACCTCCGCCGTATCCTTCTGGACCGTGGCTGCCACCGGTGATGGTGGAACTGGTGACACTCCTCACGACGTATGTTGATCTGTCCACCACCGGCCCGGACAGTGCAGAACCTCCTACCGCTGGTGCGGCTGCGGCGACTGGAGCGGCTACGGCTACTGGTCTCAGTACAGCTACCGGAGCGGTTACTGGCACTGCTGGTGCGGCCACGACGCCAGCTCCACCAGGACCACGTCCGAAGCTTCTTCTGAAGAGAGCATTTTCACCGACGGCACCACCTCCGAGACCGCCGCCTCCCAGACCACCACCTCCGAGGCCAAGGCCACCTAAGCCGCCGGGACCACCTCCGAGTCCAAGGCCACCGAATGCACCGAGACCACCTCCGAGGCCCCCTCCGAGATCACTTCCGAGACCACCTCCAAGACCCCCTCCGAGACCACCTCCGAGACCACCACCGAGGCCCCCTCCGAGGCCACCTCCAAGACCGGCTCCAAGACCGGCTCCGAGGCCCCCTCCGAGGCCTCCTCCAAGACCACCGCCAAGACCACCGCCCAGACCACCACCGAGACCAGCTCCGAGACCACCACCAATACCACTGCCGAGACCACCGCCGAGACCAAGACCCCCGTAGCCGCCGCCGAGACCGCCGCCAAGGCCACCGCCGAGACCAAGACCACCGTAGCCACCGCCGAGACCAACTCCGGGACCAGGTCCGAGACCACCCCCGAGACCCCCTCCAAAGCCAAGACTGAGGCCACTTCCGAGACCAGGACCCCCGTAGCCGCCGCCGAGACCAGCTCCGAGGCCAAGACCATTTCCGAGACCACTCCCGTAGGCGTTGAGAGCTAGGCCTCCGCCGCCCCCACCGACGTTACCAGCGAGCACTTTAGCCATCAAGCAGCAGAACACAGCAATGATGGTCTGTTGAAGCCAGAGGGACGAGGCAGACGAATGTGAGAAACCCTCTGGTGAGCCACGAAAAAATCAGCTGCACAGGACACCACAAACCGGACGGGCTCGTGAGCTCGTTTGCCATATTGTATCTGTATTAATAGATATGAACTCGATTCCCCCCCCCCCCCCTTAATAGTTTACTTAATCATAATCGCCTGAAGGTTGACCTCTCTAAGGCGCTGCGGCTGGTTCAGTTGCCGTGAACACGTTGCTTTGTGTATCCATTATTTCCTGTAGCCTTCAGACTGTTGAATAAGTCCCCGCAGTCCACACTATATACTAATATATCGCACCGGGAGGCATGACTGAGCCATAGTCGATGACAGGTTAAGAACCCAGTAGAATAGATGCTCCGCTTCCAGCAGGCGCTCGTTGCCTTACGCCGTGCTCTGGCTGCTTGTGCGACAAAGTATTATCGAAGGCAGAAAGCTCTCGGTCGAGGCGGAGCATCTGCTGGGCTCTAACCCTGTCACCGACCATTGTCACTGATAAGATGAGAACGGCAGGGCATCTCTTTCGGATGCGCAGCTTCCAGATCGCTCTCGTTGCCTTCACCATTGCTTTGGCTGCGCGTGCACGCTCGAAGCTCACGAGACACCGTATCATGGAAGGTAGGGAGCTCGCGCTTTAGGCGGGACATCTGAAAAAGCTCCTTGACGTGCTCATCTTCTCAGTGACTATATAGTATACGCGTCTAGATGTGAAAAAGTCTCCCAACATACACATGTGTCTTCTTACTGCAGTCCAAAGCTTTGCCCCCGCATTCGAAGCCTCCGCTGCTGTCACACTAATGAAAAATGGCGTCGAGCCTACAATTGTGGACAGCACGAAGCCAATCTACCAAGACAATTGTTGCTGAATGGTGCGATACGTAGCCGATCTGATATATTGGGAGCTCGACACGCATCGAGTAATAGCTCTTCAGGTCGGAAGTCGCGTGCAGCGTTTTGGGGTCCACGCGTAAGAGCGCGTGTCTTTTAAAAGAGGGGGGCGAGGACGGAGGTCAGGAAAGTAATCTATAGTCTCGAAGAAGCAGTGTTGTGCAGAACGACGTTCCAAGGAACGACATTCCTGGAATGCGTTCCTTTTGGGAGGAACGGAAAAACGCCGCCGTTCCATCTTGCATCGGTGGAACTGGAACGGGAACTCGTTGCATTTTCAAAATAACGATGTTCCTTTTTTTTTTTTTTTGCCTATATATTTGTAATTTTACCCGTACTTGTAGCCATCTATACTCTGTTTCACCTTGTGTTGTACCGCAGGAAAGGCTACAAGCGCGAGCTCCTTGCTCTATGGCACACCTCGGCGGCACACGCTCCCGTGCACCAAGGGCAGCTAACAACGCTATGAGCTCGCGCTTCTAGCCTTCGCTGCAGTACAACATAAGGTGAAACGGAGTACAGGCTTTTTCTTATCGATTATTTCAACCTTCGACTTCAAAGGATGGGGAAGTGTCCGAGAGATAGTGGAAAAGAAATAACTAGAACAAATGTGATAATGGCAACACGCATACAGCGTCTGTGTGTGCCCCCCCCCCCCCCCCCAAAAAAAAAAAAAAATGAATGAAAACTATTTTTTGTTTTGAAAAAGAAATCACGCATCGCCAGACGCTCATTCTCCTCCCAAATGTAGTGCTAGCGGTCCGAACCAGATGCCAAGGTTTCAGTACGAGCCGTTATCTTATTCAAAAGTTATGCGATTTTCCGAACATTTTGGTGGGAAGATGGGGGCCATTTTCGCCCTTTTTCGGTAACTGGCGCCTAGAGCTCCATGTATCAACGAGCTCTGTCGGTCACCATTTTCCCATTGAAAATTTCAACCGTTCGGCGACGCGTAGTTTATTTTTTAAGTAAAAAATAGACCTTATAGTTATTTTGTCTCACCCTGTGATTTGATCCGAATATTCTCACTTGATTCTTTTTTATCTATGAATTATTTGGCACAATATTTTATGAAAATACGCAAAGGTAAGGTTAAAGTAACGAAACGTTTTAATCTTGAAAAATGTAACGGGAACGCGTTCCTTTCGAACCACTAGAACCTGTAACGGAAACTCGTTCCAAGATTGAGATGGAACGAGGAACGAGCTTTCGTTCCTCTTTTGGAAGAAAGTGTACAACACTGCTTTGAAGTGACAAGTGAAAGCAGCGGTGATTGAGGCCAGTCAATTGCCTTTCCAAACTTGGCTATTGAAATCAATAAACCGTCCTCACCAAGCGTTCGCAGCTTGCGTGACCCCGTCATAACTCTAGTTCACAGGAAGCAGGCCGCGGTGCTCGAGGCGGCTCGTTCCGTATCGTGCTCTGCACGCGCAGAGCTGCAGCGAGGTTGTCCCGTGTGCAGAAAGACTAAAGTTCCCTCGATGCACTGAGGCAGCGGCGGCGTACCCTAAACTGGCTAGTGAAATTCGTCTGTTGTTCAATATAAATTACCGTTAGCCAATTAGAGCCATCGTCCCTGGGCACCAGTAAAGAACTGAGGCTACTTGAACACAAGGATCCTGAAGGATTCCTTTCTCCAGAAGACAAATTTGTGCCACCAAGGTCACTATCAACACCATCTGCTATTCTAAAAGTGGAAGGTATCCACACGAAGGGCACGACTTCAATGTGCGCTCGCAAGCAACTCGCAGTGGCAACTATACACGAGATGTATACAACTCTACAAAGCACAGATATATGAACGGGTACACCACGGAGTCACGATCAGGGGCTGGAGTAGCGATAGTCACTCACAATCGCTCTTTAGTGTAAAAGGTGGGACGTTGAGCAACAGCAGTTCCTTCAGAATTTACAGCCATTTAAGAGGCATTTGTGGTATTTAAAATCACAGCCCCCGATAATGGGCATATTTAGCGACTCCTAGCCTACGATCCAAATGCTCGAAGCTGTAACGAAGCGAAGCACGTATGAATACCTTGCATCTGGCATATGTATGCTGCGAGACGCAACGACAAGTGCATAGTAACATCAACCTTCAGTGGATAGCTGGTCGCTGAGGAGCGCTGGACAGGAGGTTGCTGACACGGCGGCAAAATCCGCCGTTGTTGAAGTCGCTAACTACGTAGGGAATTTTATTATCACGAGCATGTCGCTCAGCAGCCAATCAGATTGCGTTCTTGGCCGATACGCAACTCGAAGAACCATACACAAACAAAGAAACTTGAATAGGGTAAACCACACCCTGCGTTTTTGAACTTATCGGTGACTAGCAGAAGGAGCGCAAGTTCGTCTGCTTCTTTTGCAGGGGTTGTGGTGACGTCAGAACGCCGAGCTCTGATTGGCTCTTGATTAAATTATAGTGTAACTTGCGCTCCGCATAAACATACCGTGCTCCAGGACGGATGTTAACGACCTGGTATAACATGGCGGAAAATCACTTTCACCGCACTATTAAAATGGTGCCTGTAACGCGTCGAATCGTTTCCGCAAAAATAAGCACAAAGATATATTTTAACGTGAAACATGTTTGGCTAGTTGCTCCGGATTTTGTGAAGCCGTTGCCTGTGGCGTCCCATAATGCAACGCGCACAGTGTGGCATTATGGGGCGTCACATATCTACAGACCAATTCAGTTTCTACGCGGGGAATTGACGTCACGTCACATGATGCATGGTGATGATAATGCGGTATATTTATATACCGCAAGGGCCCCGGTATGGCATTCTGCGAGGTGAAGACACAACAAACTTACGGGAGAAGAAAAAAAAGCAGGCAAGGAAGCGTTCATGCACCTTCCTCATAACGTAAAACAAACCAAAACATAATTGAACACACAAGGAAAAGGACAACTTTGCATATAGACAAAATAATCACCGATTTCACGCTCGTAAAAATAATTATTTCAGCATCAAGAACTTCCAGTCTGGTGGACACTAAACCAACAATTTACCAGAAATTACAGAGAATCAATTTACCATTGATTCTCTGTAATTTCTACCACAGTCGGGGCAACGCGCTTTAGTCTGAAGTGGCAAGCTGTGAGGGGATGCGAACTTGATGGTACGACTCAAAACATAAACCCCAATCAGCCACCAGTGAGAATCGAACTCACGACCCCTGGTTTACGAGACCAGTGCTCTAGCCACTGAGCTATGGTGGCTTCGTCAACTCCCTTGCACCGAGCAATGGTGGCGTTTTAATTTATTGTTTGTCTGTCATTTGATGCTCGTGCATTCTGCTTTATATGTAAATCAAGGAATCATCGAGCAAGAAAGATTAATAATGCTGTGTGTAAGTCTACACAGTCGGAAGTTAGTCAGCATGGGCGTCTGGTTTCTCAGCTGTGGATGAGTAAATTTAGCCAGTGCAGTACAACCGCTAGCTTGTGGTTTTTAACGTGCACCACGCAGTAGTTATGCTCATTCTGATCGAAACGGGAAGAGGTGGTGATTGAACCCAGGATCCCCGGGTTCTGCAGCGTGAGCTTTCGCTCCAAGCAAGGGTTTCTCCAGGAATTGAAACTAGGGGGGGGGGGGTCTAGATTTTTAGGGGGTGGAGGCATTGAGAACAGAGGAGTCGTTGCGAATTAAGGGGGTGCCTTCAGAAAAACAAGAGGGGTGTGCAGGGAAGTCACTGGCTTCAAGCGCTCTGAGCTGCGGTGCTCTAGCGCACTCGGCCACCGATCCCCCAGCAAAAAAGGTCAGTGTTGGGTAAAGTACATCTAAAAAATACTTCAAGTAAAGTACAAAGTAAGTGAGAGGTTATGTACTTCAAGTAAAGTAGTAAGTACACCGGGCGCAATGTACTTGAAGTAAAGTACCCTAAATGCAATGTACCTCACAGAAAAGTGCAAGTACATTTTAACACAATCTTTCATCATGCCCTTCCATTCCCCTATACATACAGTTTTTTGTTTCTTTTAAATTCTTATGCGATGTTCCAGTGGCTATCGGGTTACCTGTTATTTTCTGAAATGGCAGCTTATATTGGGGAAACACA